GTTCAGCGGGATCTGAACCGACGACACTGCCTTGCGCTTCTAATCCGGAGTAATACTATCCATCATTCACAGCGAATCGGCCGAACATCCTACGGAGGTCTCGAGGGAGCAGAGTTAACGGAGTTGCGCCGGTCAATTGCACCATTGCGACAATCAACAAACCTCAACAAACCGCAAATCCACACAGCTCGTTTTTCAAGATGGGCTACGAGGAGTATGAGAGCTATGAGCGGCCGACGGAGAGATCCAGATGGACTCCCCTGACGCGCATGTTGCTCTCGGGCGAAATGACACAGGAGAAGCAGCAAGAGCTGACGGCACGAGAAAAGTTTGACCGATGGATGATCAATGAAGGATACAGAAGAGTGTACGTTGGACCTTGGTGAAGTGGGATGAAGCATTTTCGATCAAAGACAAGGAGAAGGAAGTAGATGTGAGAAAACCTCGGTTTTTGGCTGACCCCCAGTTTGCGAATAGATTCGTCTTCGTCTTCATCCTGGCGCATGCCCTGATCTTCGCCTTTGCATGCGTCCACTACGGCGTCAAGGACAGTTTGGCGACGTCTCGGAGCACCTTTGGCTTCACCTTTGTCATTGCCCGAGCGGCAGCGCTGGTGCTCCACGTCGACGTCGGTATCATCCTCTTCCCCGTGTGCCGAACGCTCATCTCGCTGCTCCGCCAGACGCCCCTCAACGGCGTCATCCAGTTCGACAAGAACATCACGTTCCACATCACGACGGCCTGGTCCATCGTCTTCTTCTCCTGGGTGCACACGATTGCGCACTGGAACAACTTTGCGCAGGTGGCGGTCAAGAACAACCTGGGCATCTACGGCTGGCTGCTGGCCAACTTCGCGTCGGGCCCCGGCTGGACGGGCTACGTGATGCTGATTGCGCTCATGGGCATGGTCTTCACGTCGGTCGAGAAGCCGCGACGGGCCAACTACGAGCGCTTCTGGTACACGCACCACATGTTCATCATCTTCTTCGTCTTCTGGGCCATCCACGGCGCCTTCTGCATGATCCAGCCCGACGTGGCCCCTTTCTGCACCAGCGTCGGCCCCGCGGCCATTGGCGTCTTCTGGCAGTACTGGATGTACGGCGGCTTCATCTACCTGGCGGAGCGCATCGCGCGCGAGATCCGCGGGCGGCACAAGACGTACATCTCCAAGGTGATCCAGCACCCGAGCAACGTGTGCGAGATCCAGATCAAGAAGGAGAACACCAAGACGCGGGCGGGCCAGTACATCTTCTTCTGCTGCCCGGCGGTGTCGCTGTGGCAGTACCACCCGTTCACGCTGACGAGCGCGCCCGAGGAGGACTACATCTCGATCCACATGCGCTGCCAGGGCGACTTCACCATGGCCGTGTCGACGATGCTGGGCTGCGAGTGGGACAAGAAGGGCGGCTCGAGCAAGGTCGTCGGCGTGTCGGGCGACGACACGACGGACCCGGCCCTCAAGCGCGTGCTGCCGCGCGTCTACGTCGACGGGCCCTTTGGCTCGGCCTCGGAGGACGTCTTCAAGTACGAGGTGGCCGTGCTGGTCGGCGCCGGCATCGGCGTCACGCCCTTTGCCTCCATCCTCAAGTCCATCTGGTACCGCATGAACTACCCGCAGCAGAAGACGCGGCTGCGCAAGGTCTACTTCTTCTGGATCTGCCGCGACTTTGGCTCCTTTGAGTGGTTCCGCTCGCTGCTGCTGGCCGTCGAGGCGCAGGACGTCGACAACCGCATCGAGATCCACACGTACCTGACGGCCAAGATCAAGGCCGACGATGCCACCAACATCATGATCAACGACGCAAACGCCGACAAGGACGCCATCACGGGCCTCAGGAGCCCGACCAACTTTGGCCGCCCCAACTGGGACATGATCTTCCGCGGCATCCGCAAGCTGCACACGCCCTGTGAGGCCGGCGTCTTCTTCTGCGGGCCCAAGGGCTTGGGCAGTTCGCTGCATGTGTACTGCAACAAGTATACGGATCCTGAGTAAGTATTTGACCGTACACCGTTTCTCCTTCTTCCATGATTTTCAGGGGGACTAATTTGACATGTCCCATCTTTAGGTTCTCGTTCGTCTGGGGTAAAGAAAACTTTTAGAGGGAGGGGGAAATATCAGGGATTGTATACGATGCCCGCATGTCTTTGTTTGTTGTTGACGGCCTTGCATGTTGTTTTCCTTTCTCTCTCTCTTGATTCTTTGTCTCTCTGTGTCGTTTCTCCAGCGCAAAAAATGAATCGATATTACTACCCGCCGCCATACTTGCCTCTTCCCCCCCCCCCCCTTTTTTTCCGTCTTGCTCGTGCCTTTGTCGACTCTGTTCTCTCTTACGATACCTGGAAAGGAACTCATAATAGTTCGATAAAAGTCGTTTTGCGCTGGACGCATGTGCTTGCTGGTAGCTGTGTGGCGAGATGCTAAAATCGATAAGGAGTAGAGGGAGTTGCGAGTAGGGTGCAAAGAGAGACGATTTAGACCAGCAATATCTTGGTTGATACTGTGTCTCGTATTCGTGTATGGAGTAAGCATAGAACCTTGAAGTTGTTAAACTTACAAGTGAGATCGCGATCTCGATCGACGGCGGGAGAGCAAACTGTGATCGATTGATATTACCCCAAGCACCATATACATGCTTGTGCGGGATCGTGTCAAGCTCAAGTACCGTCACTGAACAGATGCATTCAGACTGCCCTCAGGGTGAGCTTGCGCGTACTATATCTTTATCATCATACCTAACTTACTTTAATGCGTGTACGGGGTTGACAAAAGTCCTCATACGAAATACGGCCTTCCTCACATGTAACCTGCTGTATGAATTCTGGCCTTCTACTGGAAGTTCGGAGGGATGTTGTTGACTGTTTTGACAATGAGCGGACGGATAGCCGGGCAGCCGGGTTTCGACGAGAGACCTCGGGCGATCCGATTCGTTATCACGGGGCAAGATCTCACCGTCCATAAGCAAAGCGTTTTCACGGGCCTTTTCCGGCCCTAGAGTATCGTCACGAGGGTTCGTATACAAGCATACCCAGGAGAAACCGGTAATATATACACTTAGTCTCATGTAGGAAGGCGGCCGTCTGACAGCTCCGTCGTCTGGTTCCAACACATACATACATACCTCAGACATACACGATATTGTCAAGCTGGGGTGATTCAAAGATAGTATGTAGGCACTAAGGACGAAGTAAAACAGGATGGGAAGAAATGCATCTGCCTTGTAGTAGCCCTCTCAGCTCAGCTGGCATCATCGTTAGCCCGCCACCAGCCTCGTGGCTCAACAGGCGCAATCTCTCATGCGGCGCCGTTGGTCAGATTGAAGCAGTAGTTGCCCTCCAGTGCTCGCTGGTCTGTTTGTGGCTTTCTTTTCCCTCTGTGGCTCTTTGATGTTATTTTGGGATATTTCGGGAGATACATAAGAGTAGAGGAATGGATGACGGGTTTGGATGGAATTGGACTGAGACATTGCTGCTTGCTGGCATGTAGCCGTTGGACATGCGGGCTTTTTGTTATTGCCTTCATTACCCTACAAACGTCCATTCTTGAAAGACAACCTGGGCTTATGACGTTGACTAGACTTTCAATGTCTACGAGTAGATTCGTGCCAAGGTGCCTCTGCCTGTACTGCTATCTTGGCGGCGCAAATCATGTCCATTGAATCAATGGTGCAGACCGAGTGATGCACTAACGACTGGCTAGCGTTTGATCGTGCGAATTCTGTTAGTTGGTGAGAATGAGCTTGGCACGTCATTTCGCATAACGTCGGACTCGTCTGTAGTTCTTTTTTCTTACGGCTTCTGGGCAGCGGCCAGAACACCAGATTATGAGAGATAATTGAATAATCAAGTACCGGTACTTGCTGATCGCTGGAGGGACGGGTACAGAGTACGGAGTCCGAGAACGAACGAGGGAGAAGTTGCCTGCTCCGGTGGACTGTGCAATGAGTCGTCATGTTTCGAGATGACTTGGTGGGTGCAGCGATCAATGATTACAGATGATACTGTACGAGTACATACTGCCAGGTCCGAGGTAGCATCAGACCGATGCGTTACGTAGCAGTACATACATACTCCGGACAAGCTGTGCCTGTTATCAGCTCGTAAGTACATACTCGATACGGCAACTGACAGGTGGCTTCGACTCGACCTGGGCTCATTTCCCTGCAAGAAGGGACCTGGACCCTGATTTGAAAATACCCTCTGCCTTTGCTCCGTATCATCGTCTTCCTCTTTTCCCACTTCTTTCGCTCTCCTCGGTGCAGGAAAAAAAAACCGCTTTCCCACTCTTTTTTTCCATGTTCGTATTCCGGGGTCACCCCTGGCATCGCCACTTTTAGGCGCTAGTCCCAACACGGGCAAAGCGTGCTGTGTCTATTCCACTCCTGTCTCCTGAGGTCCCGCGTGCAAACAGCAAATCCCGGACTAGCCCAACAGGGTCGCTCTCCGTCTCTTTCTTGCTTTTGCTTGGGCGGCGTAAAATGTGCTGCAAATTTGGTTTCTTTGCTTGCGAGAATAATACGAGTAGTAGTAGCCTCTGCTGTGGCGTCAAGAGGTAGCTGTACTTGACTGTGGCTGTACCTCGAAGAAGTCCTTGCACTGTCTCCCGTCTTTACTCAAGTCAATAGAGCTCTGAGCTCCTGGCGGCCTCACCTAGCGAGCTTCCAGTTTAGTGGCGGCGGACCTGTAGCAACCCGCCTGTAGTGCACTGAGAGCGCTGCGCCGCGGCCACTGGCATGCTGCGCAGGTTGCCGGCACACGCACCACCACAGGTACCGCTACCCCGCTGGGCCTCCCCCCAGGCACTGCTGCAGGTACCTGGTACTGGCCGGGCATGCGTGGCTTCTCCGGAGTCCGCGTGAGCCACTGCCACTGGACGGATCTGCTGGCCCCGTCCAAACAATCGGGCCCTTTGTGCTGTCCACGGGTCTGGTCTCTTGGCTTGCACTGTCTTTTTCCTGTCAAGAGCCCCCAGGGCCCTTGAACCTGCTACATGTACCTACTTCCACTTCCACCCTATCCGACCGCTTCCACTCGCTTGTTTCACTCAATCTTACCATCGCCGTCGACCTCATTTTGCAGCTTCGTTTTTCCTTTGTCCCAGCAACCTCGCGGAATTTCGTTTATTGCATGGCATCTCCCCCCAGCGACTCATAGCTTGGCCGAATCCCGATCATCCGCCCTCCTTCACAATGCGCCTGCCGGTGGCCCTCGTCCTCGGCGCGCTGCTTGGGGCCGCCCAGGCATCTGTGGTCGTCCGACAGGACAACACCGGCTCAGATACCACGACGGCTCCCGCCCCGACCAGCGGAGGCGGCGACTCGTCGACCTCTGCGCCGCCCGCCCAGACAACGCCGCCTCCGAGCTCGACGCCTGCGTCCTCGTCGTCCTCGTCCAGCAGCACCTCCGCCGCCGACAGCGACACCACCGTCTTCGAGACCGAGACCGTCACGGGCCCTGCCGGCAAGCCCATCACCAGCACCCGGACTGTGACGGCGACCAGCAGCACCACGGTTGTTGTGACGGCCACCGTCTTTGTCACGCACACTGTTACTAGCAGCGGCGGCGAGACAGCCACCAAGGTCGTCTTTGACACCACCACTGTCTTCGCGACGCCCACCGACACCCCGCCCGCCAAGAAGCGCGCTGGCGAGATTGCGCCCAGGACTGCGATCGATGCCGTTCCTACTGGTGCCCCCGATGCCGACTACCTGGCCCAGTCTCTGGCTCTGCGCGACCTGGAGGCACGCGCCATCTTCACCGAGGTTGTGACGGTGACCGTTGGAGGCGGTGGTGGCTCGACTGTTGTTGAATCGACCACCCGGACGGTCAAGAATACAGCCACCTCCCGCACCACCATTACCAGCACCGTCACGACGACCGACCAGGTCGGTGCCAAGACGACGATCACTTCGACCAGCCTCCTGACTGTCACGTCAACCCTTGTCACCACCGGCGTTCAAGAGACAACCACTCTGCCCCCTCAGTCCTCTGGCTCTGGCACGGGCGTTCCGGATAACAACGGCAGCCATGCCTCGGACAGCTCCGGCCTGTCTACGGGAGCCAAGGCTGGCATTGGTGTCGGCGTCGGCGTCGGCGGTCTTCTCCTTCTTGGAGCCCTCCTCTTCCTCATCCTGAGACGTCGCAACCGCGGCCCTCGACCTGAGCACGACGACCTCGTTGGCGCTTCCGAGGTTCCCGTCGGTGGTGGTCCTGGCGGCGGCGGCCTCAATGGTGGAAGCAGCGCTGGCCAGCCTTCCATGTCATCTCACACCCCCTCGGCAGCGGCTTTCTTGGCTCCCGGCCGTGTCCCTGTCGCTCCCGAGGGTTATCGCGGAACCGCTCTTGGAGATGGACGTACTGGATATGCCAAGCCAGAGCCGTACGGCTCCGCCTACACCCCTAGCCCGACTACCACAATGGCTCAGACCACCAGCCCTGCCTCGTTCGAGAGGGCGAATCTGGTTCCTCCTGCTCATGCCGACGCTGCTGAGCTGCCCAACGACAACCCGAACGCCTCGAAATGGCACGATCCCAATGCCGCTGAGATTGACGGCCACGCTCTCGTGAACCACCCGAGCGGACCCGTTTACGAGATGCCCGCCCAAAACTACCGGTAAAGTGGGAGACGAGAGTTCACTAGTTGTTGGAGAGTGAAGCTATATTGGACCGGCAGAAGGGATGGCATCGTCCTAACAACCAACTATATCCGTTGGGAGAGCCAGCCCACGGCTGCGGCGGGAACATACAAGGCATGTGTCTTTTGTATATACTTGTCTATACCCCGGCGTGTTCACCTTGAAGTGGGCTTAATGAACAGGAGGGAGCGGCTTGGTGATTCTCACAGTCCTGGACGCTACCTGGAGGAGGGACGATTCTTTGATTTTGACGTGACGCACGATATTCGACGCTAGAGGAGAGGCCATGTGCATATGACGACGCCGGGGAATTATGGAAGATGTTACCGGACACATGTAACGAAAACTGGAGAGCACATGGAGGCCTTTTTTTCGTTTTGCGCTGTCTTGCGTAGCCGCTTTATGTACCTTTAATAATGGACCGCTTCAATTCTTGACCGTTTTCGAGTCTCCCATTGACATACATGAGATCTATCATGATCCGGAATAGTCGCACAAGCCCTTATACCAAGGGGGCAAGACGCCTTTCATCCGGTGCGGTTCGTTACACGTGCTCATGACGAGATCTGTGGAACGAGCAGCAGAAGGAACTGCCGGTGGGCGATTACCAATCGAAGGGAACTTCGTCATACAGTAGTATCACGAATCGGAAGGATCGATGGACGCATGCCGAGAAGCGAGCCCAAGACTCTGCTGATAAGCCTCTATCCGCAGATGAATGGTGAAACCAGCAAGAGCGTGTCACCGAAAGTACGCTACCAAAGGGAAAGAGCAGACAGTCAAGGAAAGAGCCAAGCAGAGAGAGTTTTTCATTAATTTAAGGTACCTTAGGTATTTATCGACCTTTTTATTTTCATCCATCTTGTTTATTGAGTCCAAGTTCAGCTTTTTTTTTCCCCAGGGGTCCGATCTCCGGGCACGCTAGCTGATTTGCATATGGCCGGACCACGCCACTCTTCGAGTTACTTTGCGAGCCTATTTTTTTTTTTTCCCCGATAGGTTCATACGCCTGTGACTCTTCTAGGTGTCATTGTGGACACTTGCTTTCTGCTTCATTCCTCGAAGAACTTGATTATCCCCATGATTGACGGAGGTGCTGGTTGAGTTGTTTTCTCACGGAGCTGCTTCTGGGTATTACTAATCTATATGAGACATTGCGGTTGTTTGTCATTGACCATGTCGAACTGAGTTGACGGCTCTTCCTTTCTGAGACAAATCGACTCGTGCGAGTGGCGGGACGACAGGACCGGGATTGAGATAAGAGAAGAGAGCCTTGTCCGCCTTTTCCTCTTCAACGGTTGTTCCAGAGGCTCCCGAATTCTTTCTGGGAGAGACTGCGGAGTTGTCGACTTCAGTGGCTTCGGCGTCACGTTGCAGCGCAGTCGAGAGAATCGCTCGAGAAGAGACAATCATCCAAAAATGGCGACGGCAAACACAGCCCCGGGGCTTGTGCCCAGTGAGGACGACAAGAGGCTACAGACTCAAGATCCTGCCGCTGTGGAATCAGATGTTGAGACGCTTCTTCAAGGCGCCGACGAGAAGAAGTTGCTGCGAAAGTTGGATCTCTACATCATTCCACTGGTCATGGCGCTGTATCTATTCAGTTTCCTGGACAGGTGAGGCATTCTTCTTCCTATGCCGGTTTCTGGTGTTTGAGCGCAGAAAGAAGAGGAGGGCCCAAAGACATTGGCTAGCTAACAAGCTATATAGAGTCAACATTGGAAACGCTCGCTTGTACGGCCTCGAAGAAGATCTCAACCTCTCATCCGAGCAATTCCAGGTTGCCGTCTCCATCCTCTTCGTCACATACCTCCTCTTCGAGGTGCCGTCAAACCTTGTCCTCAAGCTCTTCACTCCCCGACGCTGGATAGCGTTCATAGTTACAGCCTGGGGCATCATTGCGACCCTCACCGGCCTCGTCCAATCGTACGGCGCGCTCATCGCCTGTCGCCTGCTCCTGGGAATCGTCGAGGCTGGCCTGTTCCCGGGCCTCAGCGTCTACCTCACCTTCTTCTACACCAAGCACGAGCTTGCCCTGCGGATAGGCTATCTTTTCGTCAGCGCTGCCATCGCGGGCGCCTTGGGAGGGTTGCTGGCCTACGGCATTGGCCACATGGACGGTGTGTGCGGCATGAGCGGCTGGCGGTGGATCCTCATTATCGAGGGCATCCCAAGTGTGGTATTTGGTGTTGTTACGTTGTTTGCGCTGCCGAATGATGTTCCGTCTGCGTACTTTCTCACTGAAGAAGAGAAGCTGCTGATGGAGGAGAGGCACAAGCGGGACTATGGCAACACGGCCTCCAGCCGCGAATTTAGTCGGCGAGACATGATCAAGGCGTTTACAGACTGGAAAGTCTGGGCGTTTTCCATTGCGCAGTTTGGCGTTGATACCATGCTCTACGGTGAGTGCCTCTGTCAGAACGTCTCCAGAAGAAGGAAGCAATCAATAACCAATCATGTTGTTTTTTTCTTCAATGTGCAGGATTCTCAACCTTTTTGCCTACAATCATTGACGCTCTCGGCGAATGGAGTGTTGCTGAAGTCCAGCTGCTCACGATTCCATGCTATTTCCTCGGGGCAGTGGCATACATGAGCATTGCCGTGCTCTCTGATCGGCTCCAGATGAGAGGCGTGTTCTGCGTCATCTTTGGCCTCATAAGTGTTGTTGGATATGCCGTCCTGCTGTCTGACTCGTCACCTGGAGTGCACTATTTCGGGTGCTTCCTCGTTGCGGGCGGGCTATACGTCGTTGTCGGTCTTCCAATCGCTTGGGTAAGCCTGAATCCTTCCGATCTCCATCATACGAGCGACAGCTGAACATGTCAAAACAGTTACCCAACAACGCCCCTCGGTACGGCAAGAGGACGACTGCTACGGGCCTGCAACTCACCTTTGGCAACATGTCTGGAATCATGTCCGCCTTTATATAGTAAGTTTCTATTCGAGCTTTTGTAGCCATATATCTTGTCCTTTTCTCTAACCACGTCGTTGCAGCCCTGCGGCTGATAAACCGCGCTTCATCCGCGGCCACGCCGTCTCTCTCAGCATGGTGGGCGTGGGCACCTGCATATACGGCTTTCTCTGGTTCTGGTTCTGGAGAGCAAACAAGAGTCGCGACGCCGGGGAGTTGAGCGAGGAGCATCAGGGACTGCAGGACGATGAGCTGAAGGAGTTGGGAGATGACAGCCCGCACTACCGATATACGATTTAATGGACTCGGCGAAAAGAAATGCGATGAGATGCATGCAGTCTTGGATATTGCACATCTTACATGACGACATTGGATAGACGGTTGACTAATAACAGGAGATTCATGTTTATGTTTTCCTTGATCTTGAAGTAGCAGGGTTATGGCTTCCTAAACATCTTCCTATAGACTTCGCACAGAGACAGCAAAGATATCATGACAAAAGCTGCAGTATTATCATTTCGTCATAAAATAAACCTAAAAGAAAGCTATGCTTGAATCGTATAAAAAATGAATGCATCCGTCATAAACGTCGTGTATCTTCATCAAGATGCCCTCCTCCCAACCACCTTGACCAACCGATCCCTTGGCACCGCAGACCTCACATCAACCCCACCCTCGTCCTCGCCGATACTGAACAATCGGCGAACATCAGAGAGCACAAAATCGCGTTTCACGCTCTCGACATCTGTATACGCCCTAGTGAACCCTCTCTTTAGGTACTGCATTTCCTGGAAGCGTCTCCATGCGGAGTTCTCGTAGTCCAGGGTCCTCCTTTCCACGAAGCCCTTCCAGCGGCGGTATTCTCCTTGCTTGGACCACTGAGCGAGCCAGGGGTCGATGAGGGCTTGGACTGCCGGGGAGAGAGGGAAGAAGGGCGTCCAGATGGGTCTGCTGATGGCTAGGAAGTTGAAGGCGTGCAGGGTGGCGAGCGGGAGGGAGATTTGGGCTTGTGCGAGGTGGGAGAAGGGCTGTTCCTCGTTCGTCTCGTTGCTGATGGAGGAGCTTGTTTCGCTTGACGGTTGATCGTTTGGCTGAGAGTTCTCGCTATGATTTTCGAGGATTGTTGTGGGAGTGAGCACCCTGCGCAGTTTTGCCAGAATCTCTTGAATGTCTGGCGCGTTGATATCGAGGTCCTTGCGAAGATCCATGGGGAACCACTTGTGCTCGTGCAGGCTAATCATGTCCTGCTTGCTCTTACAGTCCGCGCACCACGAGTTTTCGCAGAGAATGCAATAGAAGTAGGGATCGTAGATGGACTTGTCGCAGACAAAGCACGTCTGCAGGGCCACTGATCCCATGTAACAGCCGTCATGGTCCCACCGTACCTGAGGCCTCGTAAGAATGTACTCGGCCAGAACTGCTGTATCAGTCTCGTATCCTCCGCGCGCAAAAAGGAGACAGACGAGGTAGTCCAGCAAGAGGAGATGTTTCTCTGTGGTCCGAGGCCCGGCGAGGAGCTCATCGATGCGAGAGACGATGACCTTGTCGAGCTCGGGTAATGCCGTGGGTTTTGCTTCCAGTTCGTTCATGGCGCAGTCGACAGGAGTGAGGCCAATGAAATTTGGTTCGTCCACAATGGCGGAGAAGACATCCTTTCCCGTCTCCTGCAAGATGGTATCGCATGCGGACACTAAGCGGGATGTGATTTGCAGATTCTTGCGTGATCGAGCCATTACAGGCAACAGAGCGCCTCCATGATAGTCCTTGTGAGCCAAGTGATCCCATAGACCCCAGCGCGGCTCCAGCAGCAAGTCTACAATCGCCATGATGTTCTTGTTGCTCGTATGAGTAGCCACCTGAAGGGCGGTTCGCCACTTTCCCTTAGCCCCAGGACCTCTCTGGGCACGTAGCGGATCAGCACCGTGTTCAAGAAGCCATCTGACGTGTCTCGCTTCGGCATCTACTATAGCCAAGCCGAGAACGGTGAGACCAGTCTCGTTGTCAACGGCGTGGATGTCCAGGCCACTGCTCAGTAATAGCTGGAGGGTCTTGAAAGGCTTGTCCCCCTTGGCTTCAAAGATCCGACTGAAGGCGCTTGTAGTGTCCGAGTCCTTGTCGTGATAGATTTCTGCCCCGGCTTCAATCAGCAGCTTGACCATTTCCAGGTTTCCATGGGCACAAGCATATGCAAGGGGAGTGCAGTCAAAAGCCGTAGGGACATTGATCATGTGAGGCGTTGCTTCCAAGAGCATCTTGACAACGTCCAAATCCTCCACATCACAAGCCGTGAACAATGGGGATTCCTTGTAATAGTAGCTGACCTGGTCTGCTTTGGCTCCCTTATCCAAGAGAAAGCGGACGGTAGCTTTCTGTTTCTGGTGGCATGCCTCAAATAAGGGGGATTCGGTCATGAATCCCTTCTCGAGTTGGAGATCCAGAAGCCGGGGCTCGTGCTTCAGCAGAATATCGCATATTTCAACATAGCCTTGTCCGGCAGCCTTGTGAAGGGGCGATAATCTCTTGCCAGACTCAGGATAGATGCTCATGTCCGCTCCGTGTTCTAGGAGAAGGGACACAGTTTCAACATCTCCTTGATCCACGGCCCCTATAATGCAGTGGTCTTCGCCGTCTCTGATGTAGTTGACGTCCGGAGGATGGCGTGACTCCAGCAGCCGCCGTATAATCTTAGGAATAGGAGGACCCTCCCTCGTTACCGCTGTCTCGATCAGAGCGGTGACGCCGTAGCCTTCTTCCGTAGACGCATCTGCACCATTTCGAAGGAGTAACTCCACGATGGGTTCATGGCCTAAGTCCACAGCATGGCCCAACGCGGTAAAGGGGAAATAGTGACGCTTGAAGTCGTTCACAGGCGCCCCATAGAATAACAACAGCTCCACCATGGATCGATCTTGAGCGGCAACGGCATCGTGAAGCGGTGGCGCGCTGACCTCTGGAAGAAGCCCCGGGTATGCTCCAGCTTCCAGTAGCCATTCTAGCGCTGTATGATTATGGCTGTTGATGGCATATCCAAGGGCCGTGGTGCGTTTGACCTTGAAACGTTCGGTCAGTGAGCTGACAGCGTCCAGATTCAGGCCAGGCCTGGGAAGCAAAGCCCGAAGAAACTCTATCCTCTCAGCTCCATCGCTAGCCAGATGGATGGGTGCGAATCCGAGCATGGTAGCCTGGTTAATGTCCGCAAATGGGAGAAAGGCCTTGAACATGTCAAGCTTTCCGTCAAATATGCACCTGGCCAGCGGTGGCTCTCCGCCCAGCATCCACGCTTCTGCATCAGCACCACCTCTGATGAGCAGCATCTCCACTAAGGCAACGTTATTGGTAGTGTACGCCCTTTCAAGAGGCGTATAGCCCCACGAATCCGTAACGTTGACCAAGGCATGAAACCTGAGCAGAAGCCGGACGAGATCCAATTTGCCCCGCACGCAAGCTACGTGCAAAGGTGTGATACCGTGATAGTCACTTATGTTTGGGCTATTGCCATTGAGCAATAGGGTTTCCACAATACCGTACACATTTTCCCTTTCAGCTTGAGCTCTAGGCCTCATCAGTCTGTCCGAAGTGAGACAGAGCAAGAGAGCTGTCCTGCCACCTTCGTCTCGCGCGGTTGTCTCAACATTCCACTGCAGAACGTGCTCAACCATGGCACGGCTTCCACTAAGTGCTGCTGCCATCAGGAGGGTGTGGCCATGCACACCCGTGATATTGGGCCATTGTCTTGCAAGCTGGCCACCGGAATGCTGTTCCCTCATAAATGGCGTGCCCTGGATCCAACTCTCAAGTTTGGCCTTCCAGGGAACAAAATGGGTTGATGGAGACGGGAGGAAATGCTGAACAACAGCGACACATCCTTCTCGAACCATGGTCATTATGGGATCCTCACTTGCTGGAGTCGTTTCCTCAGCCTTTTCCTTGACGAGCCATGACCTCCAATGGAGCCATGTCTGATACTGCGGGCAGCCGATGGACAAAAATCTTTGCAGAAGCGGCACCAGCTGGGGACTGAGCGTCTTCAGCTTGGCAAGATAGCTTAGCCAGCCCTGAGCCGCGAAGCCATAAAAGGGCGCCGTGTTGGCCATCCTCTCCCCTGTGCTCTCTCTATCAGTCAGAGGCAAGCGGCTGCAAAAGCGATCCTCAAGGAGATATGTAAGGCAGACGAAGGCAACGTTGGTCCGCCTATGCTCCGGTGAAAGGTACCCGTTTAGATGGCCGCGGACAGAAGTGTGGACGGAAAACACGAGCGAGTCCGTTGGGCTGACCCAGAACAGGTCTCCGCAATATGATTGTATAGATTTGGCAAGGCCACCAGCGGGCATATCGTCCGGACCATACAAGCACACGAGAAAGTCCTCGAGCTGTTTGATAGAAAAAGCAAGGCCGACGTCTTCGGAAGCAATCAGTGTTAGGACGGTACGCAGGTGTCTTTCGCTGTTGTTGGCAGATTGCAGTAACGGCAGCATCTTCGCCTCGTACAGCCGTGCCAGTTTGGTTGGAATGTAGTCTTTTTGAAGCTCATGGATGGAGTTTTGGCCACACAGACCTTCGATTTCGTCGACCGCGAGTTTGGCGTAGAGCCAATAACCTGCTGCCTTCTGATCGATTCGCTCTTTGATCTTTTCTATCAGGTCGTGCTCTGACTCTGGCCTCGCGTTCGATATAGCCAAGAACTTCTTGTCCAAGTACAATGCGACGTCTTTCTTGAGGTCTTCCTCTGGTAGAGAGCAGCATGAGGTTGTGCTTGAGGCTGTGAAGGTGGCGTCCGTCCAGCGACTCGTGATGACCAGCTTCAGTTTGGTCGGTATTTCGACCAGATTGCTAGACTGTTTCTCCGGCCCCAAGGCGATGGGTTGCCTCAGTTGCTCCACCAGGGCAAAGAAATCCGTGAAGTTGGCCGAAGGCGTTTGCTCCAGCCCATCCACGATGAGGTATATTGTCCGAGGCGAGCAGACTTTCCGGAAAGAGGTCCATATTTCGGCAAACGCAGAAGAATCCAGTAGAGGAGGAGTAGATTCACCCACACCGCGGCGAAATTGAATGGGAATGTGAAGGAACCAGTCCGGCCACTCCTTTATCAGCTGCCAAGTAAAGTATTCCCAGGTTGCGGGTTTCTCTTCTCCCTTTTGGCAAAAGTAGCCTATGACGATGTCGTCTGGCTTGGATGACTTGAGATGAGTATAGACGGCACGGGCGAGGTGTGATTTTCCGTGTGCGGGCGCTCCTAGATAAAAGATGGTACCGCATTTTGGGTCGGTAAGCCAGTTCTTGTAGATGGCGCCATCCTTGAACCATTCGCACGTTCCGGCAGTAACATAGACATCATTTCCGTAATTGGCCTCTGACCAGCCACTCAGTGAGCGAAGGAAGTTTTCTCTGGCAGTGACATCTTCATTGTCTTTGCTCTTGCGTTCCCGGCTTTGTAAATCGTTGTCGATCCTCCACACCCTTCGCCGAGGCTTGATGATTGGAAAATCATGCCTCTTGATGCTGGGAATGTCTTCGATCGGGAGAGGGCGTTCCAGACCCAGTGATGGTGTACGGCTGATGGGCGGCGAAACAGTTGCCACAGCGCGTTCCGACAGCGTATCGACCAGAAATTGAGAGAATATCTGCATGAACTGCATGAACCTCTCGCTAAAGATGCTCGAAAACCGCGGCAGCTCCTCGTGGCTGCAGTCTATGATGTGGTCCGTATTACCCTGAAGCTCTTCTTTCTGGCATTGAAGAGGGATGACCTATGGCAGTGCGGTATAAGTAATTTGATACTTTCTTGCCTGATGAGGCAGCTGAGGGCAGGTACTTGCTGGAGACTTGTGAGAATCGACACCCAGAATACTGGCCTCTGAAGGGAGTCTTTCCCAAAAGGAGAGAAGCCTCAAATAGCTAGGTTTGCAGGTGATGAAGGCAGCGTTGATGCGGCTGACTATGGAGACAAATTCCCGAATATCTTGAGTCGTGACTCCATCTTCTGAACCAAAGGCATCGACTGTTCCTCTGACGGATTGCAGCAGTGCCTCAGAATCTGTGTCGGCGTGTGGGGTGCCAAAGAAGACGATACCGGCCAGTGCATTCTTGGTCCGCGGATATGATGGTGTCACGAAGCACAACTGGATCGCCTGGAGTCACTCTACGAGTCAGCGGTTTGACCGGCCTACGAGAAACATATGGCCGTCCCGTACAAACCTTCTTGACGATGATGCCTCCAAAGCCGTGAGCAATGAATATCAACGGTCTCCCCTAATGGACAAAGTAAGAACAAATAGTTAGAGGAGAATGAGCCACGATGAAGCACGGAGTCATACAGGAGATTTTCGGAGAGCTTGCTCCAGGCAGCAGAGCAGATCGTTTGCGTGAAATGCCGGGCTGGATGACGACAGGTTTGCGTCTACGTCGCCATTGTAGCTGAAGGAGAAGATGCGGATAGGCCTCTTGATGCGGGTGATGAACTCTTCGTCTTTGATCCAGATCTTGCCCGTGGACTCGTCATGCCATGTGGTTTCAGAATTGCCGCCATAGCCATGAACGAAGACGAGACTAGATCATGCCGTTAGCCAAGATGCTGTAGTAGTTCGTATGAGGCAAGGTCAGAGGTAGGGCTCACTCGACGTGGGGGGTTGCGCGGGACAGCCATATGAGTTCCAGATTGAACATCACCACGTCCGAATCAGCGGGTTGCTGGAGGATGCTGCTGAAGCCTGTCAAAGACGTAAGGCGACTCGAACGAACGAATGGTGCCGGCGCTATTGAGGACAAGACGAAGATGTTGATTGAAGTATAAGGAAGAGACGATCAGGTGAGGCAAATCAAGGCGAGACGGTATGGCCTTGCACAGAGCGTTCTACAAGCTGAAAGAGCCGCTTGCCAGTCCGCATGACTTTGCTTGGTACAATCCACCCAGGCATGGCGATGTTGCCTGGCCAAGCCTCGCCAGCTGAAAAGGATTGGTAGGACCAGACGGCTGTTTGGCCTCTTCTATTGGCTGCATGATGGAACTGCTGGACTAGCTGCCTGTAGCGTTGCGGCCTTGGAGCGTCGAAGGCAGAGAAAGGCATCCCTGCATGAAAAGGATCGAAGCAGCGGGATGATGATCGGAAGGATGGATGTCGTTTGAGGCGGGGGCGGGGAGGACGAGAACGATTTCCCTAGTGACGACGAAGAGAGAACTGATAATGGACGTAAGATAGACATTCGAGACAAATGAAGTTCAAACAACCGTCAGCCTTATCTGAGGGGCGTCTGTGGGTTCCAGCTCTGGATCCAGGGGAAGCGAAAGATCAAAATGGAGAGAGTTCAGTTGTGGATAAGACAAGACGATGCGATAGCCGGCGATACGAAGCACCAAGATGGAACGGAACGAGATGGAGGTGAGACAATCGGCAGCTAACGAGAGTTCAGCGGTCTCAGGGGGCCGGGACGGGAAGTCAGTGGTCGAGACTGCTGGAGCTCCAGGGAGAGTCGCCGCTAAGCTCGCTATAATGGTTGGCCAGGGGTCGATGGCGTGTGAGAACTGACGCGGACCTCGGAACGTGGACCTTTGAAGAAACGGACTCAACTCTATCAGCATCCGGCGAGGATGATGTGACGGGAGCTGCATGGATGCGACACTGAGAAGCGCAGACTCAATCAAGATGATGAAGCTAATAACGCCTGGAACGTGCAGGTGCGGGCTTTTGAATCTTCACCATGGAGGGAGGGAGAGATTCTGCCCAACCCCCGCTGGCCTGCAGCTGGTGGTTCCGACTTGACTTCTGTCCAATGCAACTATGAAGCCATCATCGGATCATATTACGATATGCGAGCAGTAGATTTATGGTGGAAAATAGAGGATTCGCAGTTGATGGATGTAAAGACCCAAACATGAGTGTTGACGCGCCGCCATTGCGTCTCTTTCTAGAGTGGTGATGGTGGTGATGGTGACCGTGGTCGTGGTGATGGCTGGGCTTGACTAACGCGCCATCCAACAATTGGTTCGGATCCAACGGCTCGACGAGACCAGAAGAAAGCATAATATAATCCCGGTCGAGTCTGCAACTGGGAGAAAACGTTGAAACCCAAGCAGTGATATCTTACCCCGTACAGGTGCTTGTTTTGATGTGCATTAGCCAAGGAATGGCCTGCATTTTACTTTTGGTATGCATGAGAGCGACTAACACGCCGTGCCTGAGATTGGCTCGATTGGCTTTTCCCCATGATAACGGGAAGCCGGCTTCCCCTCTCCAGATTGCAGCAGTAGAGATGGTGGGATTGCTGCATTTCCAGCAGTCGTATTGTATCCAGTCTTTGCCTTGATCATTTATTAGACGCATCCCTGATCCGAGGGTCTAAGTCGTCTCCATGGCCGGATCGCATCCTCCCTTGACCCAATTGACGCCATCCTCGCCATGCTTATCTCTGGAATCGACGGGATCAATGAGGACTGCTGTTTACTTTGAAAACATAAAAGGACAAGGTCTCCCCATGCCTCCATTCTGTAAATTCCTATCCATCCATCAATTATCAGCTGTTGTTGGTCCATTGGGGCTTCAACTGCTACCTCATTGCCCTATGTCATTGGGCCTCTACGTGTACCCAGGCCCAAACCATTATAACGAACAAGGGCCACCAGAAACATCACTCTTGTCTTAATCACCACATATCGTGTCAGTCACAACATGGCTTTCCTTCTGCTCAAGCGCCTCAGTCTACTCTTCGTCCTACTTGGACTGGCTCTGGCCGATAAAGGCGTCGCCCCCCTCGAAGTGGTGGCGATGTCTATGCACATCGACCACGGCGAACAGGTCGGCCGCTGGACATATCACGACAATTCGACCTTCTCAGACAATGCCACAGCGGCACCGCCGTCCTCTTCCCTCAACACGCTGCCTTCCAAAACGGACACACGCCTATTCAAGACCGAGTTGACCAACCTGATAATGCAGGAGCCCGGCTTTGTACTCCTCAGTCTGTCCTTTGTGTTTATCAGCTGGGGCATGGTGTTTCTCTAAGGATTGGCGAGGTCTTTGTCTTCTCTGACCTTTGTTTTTTATTGTTTCGCGCTTTTTATTTCTCGTATATATGATTCGTATTAGCAGCATATGGGCTTGTTCTTGCTCCTGGATCGACGTCAACAGTGCGCACTGGAGTCAAAGAAGGCGTTTGAGGGTCTGGAAAATCATGGAGGCACACACATTGGTTATGGAAAAGTCTATGATATCTGAACAATCAAGGTAGCAAGGGTAACAAGGTAGCTATTGATGCATTCTACCTTATGGATATGGCTGTTCATCATTGTATACACGTCTATTTTCTTCTGTGACTTTTACTCCCTACACATAATACGTGTATCCGTATTCCCAGCTTACGATATCGTCGAAACCACTTCATGCCCAAAGAATTGATTGGGAGCACATGCATGAAGATTTCATCCTCAGGCATGGGTTCTTCAGGCATAGGTCACCTGAGAAGTTGACCATCTCCGAGGTCTTTAAGACGTTGATACATCAATTACCCGGAAGCGAACAATGCTGCCAAGGGTTCTATGCATGTGCTCATCTACACGCATGCTGCGTTATCTGTAGCAACACCAAAGACCCCAATGGCGAGAAAATCCAAGACATCACTCGAAGAAAGAGGTCATTGTGCTTTCCCCTCGGTTCCATGGAGACAAACGGACATGCATGGACTTGTGCCACTTTAGTTGCTGCTGGCGCAAGCCAAACATCAGACCTGACATCGCCAATTGGCGAAGCTACGTCATGGCGCACCGCCTCTGCCATCGAGGACGAACAAGTACCGATAAGCGAAGGAAGAACCGTTAGCAATTCTGAGAGCAGAAGAAGATTCATTGCCTTGCTCGATGGGGACTTTATGCCAGTTACAAGTCTGGATACAGTGTATCTGTTGTAGTACTGAACTGCACGATGGCAGTACCTGAATCACAAGCATCAGGGTGTACCCGTAGATGTACTCCTTGCGTGGAGTGACATGTAGCCTCTCAAGGGCTGCTGCAGCTTGAAGCTTCCAATTGTTCCCACCAGATCCGACGCCTGGTCCACTCAAGCCAAGCCGGAAAAAACAAAGAGTGACATGCAATGCACATCAACCTGCAACCTTCATTGTTTCTTCTTCCATCGTCCGGTATACCATTCTATTACCCTTCATCATCACCTTCAACTTCTACCAGCCGAGAACCAGCCTCTTCTCTTCTCCTCTCTTCTGGAGTAACAGCAGCCCACGATTTACGACCCACGATCCAACGCTACGCTCTGCTTCCACCCGTTGTCTCCTGCGACAGGTTCGCAACCAACAGCTCTCAGGTCTGGTGATCTGAATATTGCGTCTTCCTCCTCCTCCTTTGTCGCGTCTCCTCTCCCCTCTACCGTCGACAAATAGCGGACAAACGACAAGCACACGCAAACATGGCAGACACCCAGGTCTCGCATCCGACACTGGCCAATCTGCCGCCGCCCGAGTCCAACCCAGAGACTCCGTCAGAAATGCCGTATGTTGCGCGCGAGATGAGCATGAGCACGACATGACGACGATCATGACGAAAGCTCACATAATCGCTGACAAGCTCCCGTGATACCAGTGGCACGCCCACGAGCACAACGACGTCGCTGTCGGCCCTGTCGACGACCGCCATCAAAGACGGCCATCGCGGCCATCTGCACGGCGGCTTCTTCAGCCGCGGCCACCAGCACAACCCGTCCGCCACGAGCCTCGAGGCCGAGCGCGCCGACCGCATCTCGCGCCTGGCCGGCCTCGAGCGGGTGTCGACGCTGCGACCGCCGCAGACGCCCACCAGCACCGGCCGCGCCTCGTCCATGTCGCCCCAGACCACGCCCACGTCGACGGCCGGCTTCCCGCCCAACTATCCGGCGTCGCAACACCTGACGCCGGCCTACTTCGACAGCAATGGCCAGCCCGTTGACCAAGATGAGCACCGTCGGGACCGCTAGTGCAACCGAGAGCCATCCCGGTGACAGCGAGGACCGTCGAACGGCTGGCGACGGCGACGAGGACATGCTGAGCAGCACGGATACCAACTATCGCGAGGGCGAGTCCGTCACCACGACCCCATGGACGATCTCGAGGGCAACCGCTCGACCGGCACCGGCTTTGACGACCGCATGAGCGACGACGGCTCCGTGTCTCTTGTCGGCTTTGGCGAGGGCGCCGGCAGCACCGTCTCGGGGCCCATCTACCACCGCCGGCCGGCCCCCGGTACTGCGTTCCAGTGGGGGCTCGAGAGGACCAACTCGGGCTTGAGCGAGGCCAGACGCGAGCGGGAGCGGGATTCGTACGCTTCGGGGGGCGGAGACACGCCTATGAGCGCCGCCGCCCTCCAGGAGCGCCAGTACGCCCGCATGATGGACGGCGTTGCCATGGATGGGCCGCCCACAAATCCCATTTCCCCTGACCAGGACGCCTTCGTCGACACGACCTTCCGCGGGCCAGTCCCTGTAGGGCGTCAGCCATCGAGGGAAACGGCTGAGAGCATCGTACAGCGCCTGGACAGCGGGGAGTCGAGGGCCGGAGCCTCAGGGATGGGCAGCCCAGGCAGGGCAGGCGATAAGCTCGGCAGGTTCTACTTTGAAAGCGACAAACGCGAAGATTGACGAGGCAAACGGGATGGAAATTGTTTACTCTAGTACTCTCTTTTTTCTCATTTCTTTTTTCTTTGGAACCTGGAAACTACGGCGGGCAAACGGGCGTATGGGCACAACAACCCTGGGTAATCGGTCTCCGGTGGGAACAAACATTGGCGGAGGGCGGAGGGCGGGGGGCGTTGTAACCACTATTCTTTTCTTTTCTTTTCTTTTTCCTGCGTTTGTTCGTGGGTATTCGTGTAATTGTATTCATCTGATCGTTTGTCTGAAGGAGGAGGGTGGGCTTGACCATGTTCATGGAGGTAATCGAGACTGACAAAGCTTTTGGTGCAGCTGAGATGCCCTACGCGATACGCATGAAATGACACGGAATAACAATTCTTATTTCGTCATCAAACAAGGTGCAATTCTAAACCGTCTTAGCAAGGCACGAAGCAGGTGTCTAAAACGATGGGGACTCTCGAATCGTGAAACAAGTTCTGGCGCATCTAACCACACTCCTATTTTTTGGTATACGAAAAAACAAGCTCTATATATGAGCAATCTCTGGCTCGAAAACTACAGAATACCGTCCGAAAAAAGCAGAAGAGACGAAGATGACATGAACTCAAAGGGGGTAATTCTGTATTGTGACTGCGTGAAGCCGACATTTTAAGATAAACGCCTGGGGGGAAGAAAAAAGACAAGAGCAGACAAAGACAAGGAGAAAACAAACCAGAAGAAAGTGAAAAACGAGCAACCAGAAATACTTGGAGCAGAAACGACAGGATACCCCCGACTTGAAGCCTTTCACCCCTTTTCCACCGCTCCCTCCTTTCCTTTCCCTTTCCTTTCCTTTCCTCCTCTCCCTCCTTATAAGAATCGTCCAGCCATGTGCGATAAATTGAAGCACTTTCAGTCCACATGGCTGGGCATGCTGCCACCGTTTCCGTGAAACTCCAGACAAGAACAAAAAAAAAAAAAAAAAGATAAAAACGTTCACCAAACCAGGGTGAAATTCTGCAAATAAAGAATGATAGAATCGGAAAGAAAAAGAGTCCTCTTTCTCGCGCCTCTCCCCTAACGCGAACTTTCTCGGTTCTCTCCCTTCGACTCTGTTGTCATACTGGACAGCATCTAAGCGTAAAATGTGTCTAGACAATGAGGAATGGTGCTGGTTGCTGTCCACCTAGCACATAGCCAGGTAGGGGTGAGTAGCAGCAGCGTTCTAGAGCAAATCAAATAAATGCTGTGCTAAAACGTATATATATATGAGCTGGCCTGAGAGGTAAAAGACAGGCAAAAGCTGTGTGTTGTATGCTGTTGTCGAAAATTGAGCTTGATGACCGAGTATTTCTCTTTTTCTTTTTTGCTTCCCTTCTCTCAGAGAAGGGTTTTTTATATGACAGGAGCCAATCACTCAGAACTCTCTAGAAAAGCGAACTGATCTTGTTCCCGTAAAAGAAAATCGGACTCTTCAAGATGAAAAGACATTGCCGCACCACAAGAAAAAGGAAGACGCCGGATAGAAACCAAGATGAGAAGAAAAGAGGAGACATAAAAGGCAAATCTCAGCATGCTCATGTGCACGGGAAATCGAGGCCCATGCGTCTCGCGACTCTTTGCCAGTCCCAAACCGCCACCCAGTCGCCCTGGTCCATGAGTGCCCACACCTCTTCAAGCAGCTCCAGGACTCGGTCGCAGTTCTTCAGGCCGGTGTATCCTCGCACGGCCCGGACGGCCGCGCGGATGCGGTACCGCTGGTCGGGCTCGAAGCACGCCGTGCCGATGACCAGGCACGGGATCAGGAGGAGCGTCTGCGAGGGGTCGGAGGGCTTGAAGGACTCGAGGAGGCCCAACGATTCGTCGACGGCCAGCGTGATGCGCTTGTCGTCTTGGGCAGGTCGGCGGGCGGGTGGCGGAGACGAGGGTCGTTGCCTTTGCGATTCGGAGGCGGAGGCGGAAGCGGCGTTTGCTTGCAGGTCGCCTTCATGCATGGAGCTTGTTCTCGAGGGATGGCGCGTGGAAGGACAGCTGTGTGTCGTTTTCGACCGGGAAAAGGGGTTGACCGCCCCCATGAGCGGAGAGCCAGCCGTGGTGCCAATGGCCGCGGCCATCGAGGCTCGTCGAGGGTGAGGATTTGTCGGTATTGAGGAGAACATGGCCGTGGGCAGAGAGCCGATGGTGCTGCGGCGGCCAGGCAGGGCCGAGGGCGGGTATATCGTGCGGAACAGATAGACCCAGAGCATCTGCTTGTACAGCAGCCCGACGCGGTCACGGCTGTCGCCAGAGGGCCAGCGAGGCGTCCACTCCCGGATGGCGGCGTCGATCTCCGCGGCCTTGTAGAGGCTGGTGTAGTCCACCAGGGGGTCGACGGCGCCGGCCATGTTGACGCGGATGGCGTTGCGGATGCTGGTGATCTCGGAGAGGTGGCGGAACAGCCCGTCGGCGACGCCCAGTAGACGCGGAGGATGGATGGGCGCCGACGGCTCCCAGTCCTCGGAAGCGAGGCGCTCCGTCCGCTTCTCGGGGTACCAGAAGAGATCGTCGGCGTAGATGTGATATTGGAAGAATTCGGTGATAAAGGTCAGGAAGTTGGAGTCCTCCGGCGGCGAGTGCTGCACCAGCTGCTTGTACGCCTGCAGATGGACCCGGTGGTCGCCCCGTGGATTGCCCTCTGCTCGCGTCTGCAGCAGGAGACACATCATCTGGCCGTATCGCGCGGCGAGAACCGTCTTATACTCGGGATCGTTCTTGTCCATCTCCTGGCTCATCTCGGCATACATGCGTCTCATGCCCTCGTCGTGGTGGTATTCGGAGCGCTGCTGCAGTGCCTCCTTGGTCGTGGACGGGTTGCTCTGGAGTATCTTCATTCCGTAGGGCGTGTCCCAGTCGATGTGCTTGCTGCTGGCAGCGAGGATCGAGTGCATCAGGCCCTGATGCCGGTTGGCGAGCTGCAGGATGATGTCCTTGAAGGCGTTCTTGGCCTCTCCCTCGACGGTCAGCACGTTGCTGAAGTGGTTGACATAATGCTTCCAGAAGATCTTGTCCTCGGCCGTTTCCACGCCGTGGAAGATGGGCTGCATGGTGATGATGGGGAGATTCTCCCACCGCTGTCGCTCTGCTGATGGGTTAGCCACCGCTGTCCTCTTTTCTTTGTTCCATCTACTTCTAATCTTGTCATGTCTTTTCTGTCGACATACCCTCTTCAGCCCGTTCCCGGCCACTCTTCCAGACTTGCTTCTCGTGATATCCCTCGCAGACGACGGCATTCTTTTCACAGTTCATACCTATCGGGATGCAAAATCCACAGGTTAGCTCCGAACAGGACCACAAACTGCTTTTGTATACATGTAGCAATGCAACAAAAGAAGAATAAGAGCTTGAAAGAAAAGAAAGAAAAAAAGGATGGCATACATCTCGGTTTTGCCTCGTCGCACTTCTTCTTGCGCTTCCTGCACGTAATGCATCCCGTCTTCGACCGACCCTTGGTCACCTTATTCGCATTGACGATCGGTGTCAGAGGATGTTTCCTCGGCCGTCCTCGCGGTCTCTTCTGTTTGATCTGGGCGCCCCCCGGCAGCTCATTCGGCGGCGTCTGAGACTGAGGCGCGGCGGTCACGTCCTCCAGGTTCATGTCATCGTCGAGCGGTTCGAGCTTCGGGATGGCGAGAGCTTCATCCGAGCCGTGCTCCCACTGCTCCCACGGGCTGTCTTCTTCGCCCTCGTCCTGATTGCCGTAGCCGGCGTTCCACGAGTCCACGCAGGACGACGAGGAGGAGGAGCAGTGGTGGTTCATCATGGGCAGGGTAGACGATCCGTTGTCCATGTTGGCGTCTGTGTTGGAGCTGACGGGCGAGAGCTGGCCCATCTGGAGCGGTGCCGCGGAAACGCCAGGTCTCCATGCGGTGTCGGTGGGCGAGGGCGAGGGCAGCACCATGCCGTCGTAGGAGCCCTCGTCGGGGGACATGCTGTTATCGTCTGGCCGGGTAAAGTCTTCGTTCGTCACGATGGCGAGCGTACGTTCCATGACACGTTAATAGCAAGCACATGCCCAATCAAAGTAGGAACGGCACGGCGACTTAAAGCTGCGAGAAAGAGAAGCGCGGAGAGGAGGCGAGGGAGGACCAGTCTCGGGAAAGCGAGAATCAAACGGCGATCAAATGTGATAGAAGCTTTTCCCCCCGTCTTCTGTTCGCTCGTTCCCTTCTTCTATTCGCTGGTGTCGTCGTCTTGTCTTTTCTCGTTTGCAGGCGGCGAGGAATCTCCAGACGTGTGGAGGCCCGACAGGCAGAAGTGTGGTTGAGTTGTTGATCGTGCTAGTATCACGTTGGGTAAGTCATCGACACTCGGCAGTGGGAGATAGATGATCAAATGCACGGTGCAAGCGAAGATCGCGGCGAACAGGAAGAGAAGCACGAAGTGGTCTGTGGTAGTATTAATGTAAGGATTGGGCGTGGGCATGGAGGGGTTATAGTATGGTGGAGGAGATATCGTCTTATTTGGCCGCCGAAGAGACAGGGTCCAAACAGCAATCCCGTCCGAATCGTGTACATTGGATTCTCTCATGAGAACCATCCGTCAATCGTCTTTGGCTTTCTCTCTCCTCCTCCTCGTCCTCCTCCCCCCCACAACCTCTCCCCCCCCAGACCGGGCCCGAGGTTGGGAGCGTTCAACACACCTACGCATGCTCACCAGGGGAGGGGGGGCGTGTGGGATGTTGAAAACGCCGCGAAGCTAATCGCAACCTCGCGTGTACAAGCACGATAACTAGTAACTCGCAGTCGTTCCCCTAACAAGCTCCCATCAGAGACCGTCTTGTGCCGTCGTTCCCGTGGGCTGGCGATTGCGATGGGGGTACAGGCCGGCTTTGGGCTTAGGATTTGGTCGGGATTTGGTCGACGGGAGGAGCAAGTAGATGACATCCAGACGGGGTCGAGGCCTTGGCAGCTCATCTCCACGTCTCTGTATCCACACATTCCCTATCCTAGCGTCGGCCAGCCAGTCCCTGCAGAGAGACGTGGAGGTACCCCCCGGTACAGACAGGTAGGGGTCAGGATGGACTTTGAGTGCTGCGAGTGCTGAGGGAGCGAACGGGCCTGCCGCACCCCTGCCCGCGGGCCTCTTTGTCGTGTCGTGCTGCGCTGTCCATCTTCATCTTGTCTTGGCCTCACTTCTCTGGGTGCGACTTGCTCGCTCGCTCGCTCGCTCCCAGGAGACCCGCCGAGCCAATTCCCGTGCCAGGTAGGCTGTTGCTGATCCTGGCGAAGGGGCCTGGGAGCTGCGGCTGGACTGCCCAGGGGGAGCGAGATCCAACAGCAGGAGAAGCAAAGAAGAGAAGCATGGGGTCGCTACGCCCAGTGTGCTTCGGGAATGTGGCACGCCATATGGGGAAGCCAATTGCTGACGCCATCGCGAGGCCCGTCAACGTGCAACCGCGGTGCTTCAGCGCGCGGCAGAGAGAGCGAGAGAACGCGGGTTGCAGTACGAGGTCAAATCGCCAGAGACTCAACTCGACTGGACTTGCTCTCCTCCTCTCCGTCCCTCACTAATCCGACCCCCGGCTAGACTTGCGGCGAACAAGCATCAGAAGGGTTGCTTCCGACATAGCGTGCTGTATCATGATATCATTGCTTGCAAGCACAGGGTGTGTCAGGTAGCTGGACATGACTTTTGTGGACGGGGGGGTGGTAGAGCGGGCCAGCAGAATCCCTGCCCGCAGTTTTGGCGACTTGGATGATTGCAGCCCTACTTGCAGTTGTTGAAGGCAACCCAGAGCGCATAACCATCGTCAATCGGCGGCCGAAGAGCCTCTGAGCGTGTGCTCTGCTTTGCTTGACTCTGCGTTGCTGCTGCTCTTGATCGCTTCCTCTCTTCTCCTCTCAACCCCCCTCGTCTCCGGCCCCCGTCTCTCCCCCTCTCTTGTCATCAACATCCACTGCCCGTTTCTACCTCGACACGAAGGTACTGTAGATATGCTAATGCTTAGGTATTCGTTGTTCCTTAGTAGCATGTTGTGGTGGCCGGTTATTATTAGGCAGGGTCTGGACGGGGTTTTTCGTTAGCTCGCCAGTTGTTAGCGGCTGGCTTATTTCTGTCCTCTTTTTTGCTTCTTCTCCCCAATTTCTTTTCCTGGCCGCGTGTGGCTGTTGCCGGCGTAACGGTTCCGAGCCAAGCCCAGGTCGAGATGGCCTCTGTCGTAGCACCTAACAACTGGCCGGCACTAGCAGTAGTAGCAGAGGAGGCAGGTCTCGATGCCCGTCGTGTGTCTCTTGTATGTGCGAATATGTATGCATACTTCATGTTTGTAGCTGCATGGCTCGATGTCTGGATGAGCATCGTACGAATAATACTGATCTTCCAACGGCCGTACTAGGAGATATGGGCACATGTAAGTCCTGCTCTGCTGTAATGATACTTCGCCTGTATCAACACCCCGTCCGTATCGTGAGCAGATCATTGTCGGGACAAGACAAACGTGCGTGACCAGACGTCGACCGCCCCGGCATCCAGAGAGAGAAGTCAATGGCTTCCTCCCCCCCAGAGCTCGGAGCTAAACCAGCAGACGACCCAGTCAGTACTTGTGCGAAGGTATTTAGTCGGCAGCAATCCCTGTGCGGCTTGGCAAGTTGTGGCGTGATGAGCTTTGACGAGGAGAAATCGTGGCCCTCTTTTCGCTGGCTTGTCGTTTTCGGTTCGGCTGTTTCTATCCGTTCTTCTGGCATTGCATTGCAGAAGGAGAGTTGATGAGTGAGAGTGATGGATGCACTCCGTCATCATCAAGGGTCCTGGGGAAGGTTTCGATTCGAGGGCCGTCGCTGCCTCGGGCTTCTGGAATGCAGGCCTAATACAGTGCTCGTATCGACGGCACTGTCTGGCTTGATGCATCATTACCTACTACTACACGCACATGGCCATTGAGATGGAGATATGGGCGCCAAAGTCATGGCCTGCGGACGACGGAGCTTCATGTTGCCGCCAACCGGACAGCCAAGGGAACGAGCAGACGGCTAGAGCGTTGCATCGCCTAGGACGGAAGACTTGAGTCTAATTGTGGCATGTCTAGCACTTGTTGGTGATGGAAGTAGTTTACATACTGTACGGTGCTACGACGGCTAGCAGGCCGTTTCTTAGACTGTTGCGGGTTAGCTGGCATGCAGGATGATGATCGAGGAGCCTCCCCGAAGCATCGCATCGACATGTTCTGTTGCTCTCGGGTCTGCCCTTGTCATGCTCTCCCCTCCCCTCTTCGTTTTCCGATCTTTTCCATCGTTAGATTACCTACGGTTTATCAGCGCGACTCGCCATCACCCAAGCATGTAGAACACGGCACGACGAACAGATTAACTCGCAGGACCAAATTCCATGGACAACTCGCCATGAGCATGTCATCTCCGTTCATACATGAGCCGCATGTACATACAGTAGGTATGTATGTACACCACGTCACAGCTTCAGTCTCGAGGCGTGATCAAAACTACCGTGCACGAAATGAGAGCATATCCGCACGAGGTCAACGATCCGTACCGCGCAGCCCCTGAGCTGAACAACAACTCCTCCCCCGGTTCCGCTGTGGCTTCCACGAGGGACACACACTGCAGTCGTCGGTATTTTGTAGATCATCATTATCTTATCAAACGCCGGACCAGGACTCCATTTTCCCATATGAGCCCACTGAACTGCCTCCATGTCCCAACGCACGTCCATCCGTGGGCGGCATCAACGCCGCTAGTAGAGCGAGAGAGATCGAAGCGGAGAAGGGAGGGGGAAGCCGGCCATCACAGAGGAAACCTCAGTCTGATTCCTAGCCAGAAATGCCAGAATGTGCTGGACGAAGCTCCGAGAGAGAAATACAAAAAACCCCCCACGTCTTCGTGGGTCCTGGGTTGATCATGCTTGCGCCGTTGTTGGCCGCTCGGAAGTCGCAAGCAGAGAGCTGCTGTTTTTGTCTGTTGCAGAGCGAGGAGATTGGCCGTATGTCAGCAACCTTGTTCCCGGCCAGCAGCGAGCGAAGACGGTTTCTCCGTTTTGGAAGACGGCATGCCAGAACCCCTGCCCGAGATCCAGGGACGAAGAACAGCCGAGAATTTGACGACGCTGTAGCACGAGGTCTTTTTGTATGTGTGCAAGTCCATACTAATCCCGTAGGCTGTAGCAACATCAGTCTTGACACTGCTTGGCATCCTCTCCTCGTGGGGGGGCCGTATCAAGGTCCCTACCATCAAGACCTGCCGCGCGTCCGTGATCCGTAGAAGCCGTTTGTCCCTTGATACGGCTGCCTACATGTAGCTCATCCATGTATGTAGTACCTGTATTCAGGCTCTCACGCCGATCTCCTAAACTGCCTCCATTCACAGATTCCATACGAGCTTAGCCGTGCCTCAAGATTCATCCAGGCTCGCTGTTTAGTGACCGTCTAGAAAGCGGGCGCAACGGACCGTACAGAGACGCTAGCGGGTGAAGCCATCGTCTTGGTCCCCGCAGTCATCCTCAGCTCCTCTGACGGACGGTGATCCATTTTGTTAGTGTTGCGGCCTGGGTCTATTTGATGCTCCGTAATTGCTATTAGTAGTAGTACTGCTATACTAGAATCCATCCCACGGAGAAGAGCTAATAATAAGAGGAGGAAGTAGGTATTCGTACATACTTGTATGATTCCGGCGCCCAGATGGAACCACCGGCGCTGGGTTTACGCCAACATGCCCCGGCCTTGCGGATTTAGCTCCTTCTCTCGGTGTCATCTCTCCACGCTCGCTTCATCAGATTGTTTGAGGCTGCACTCGAAATTCCCGACGCCAGCAGCGTCATTCGAGTACAAGCATGTCCTTA